AAGAAGCCGGCCAAGGGCACCGCAAAGGTGGGCGGGGGGCGCACCCCACAAGCCCCGCGAAAAGGCAAAGCCAGTGGCGTCGAGGTTGGGCGCGAAGAAGCCGATGAAGCTGCGGCTGGCTAGCAAGCCAAAGGCGAAGGCGAAGGCGAAGGCAAACACGAAGGGGACGTCGAAGGTTTCCAAGGCAGCGAAGCCGAAGGCCCCCCAACACGCGACGGAGAAGCCAAGGCGCAAGTGAGCTAACCGGAACTTCGTTGTGCGGTTAGCCAGGGGCGGTGGATGATGCGCCTCGAAAGATATAGAGCCCATACGGGCGTGCTTTCTAAGACATGGGTGGTGGGGGGCGAAATTCAGTCGAGTTTCGTCCCGTTTTTTTTACTGTTGTTCTTATGCGGGCCGCGTAATTGTGTTAAAATTCCACTTTCCTTTGCCTCAAATGCTTAATAAGAACAGTGAAATCAAGCGAGAAGAAACATTTTTTTTTTGTAGAGCATCTCTGACGCAATGTTTTGATCCTGAAAGAAAAAACACGTTACATTGTTGCTTACGTTCAACTTTTTTTTTTGTTGCCGCATTGATTTGGACGCTTCAGTCTCTCGTGTTGTCGGTGTTGTTGGAGCGGCTGTGGGTTCTCATGTTTGTCTCTGTTCTTCTTTGCATCCTTCCATTCCATTCCATTCCCTTCCCTTCCCTGCTTGGATCCGGCGACTTCTCGCGTAAACGATGATGCAGCACGTCGTTCCAGGAAGCCGTTTTCTCTTCTTGCGCACTCCGCTCGCCCCCTTTTTTGTGCGATGCAGCGAACAGCCTTGATGCTCACTCGTGTCATGGGCGCAAGGAGACGCGCGTCGCATACCTCTTCCCGGGCGGCGCAGGGCGCGAGTAAGCTCGCAGAACTTAAGAAACGGCTCCGCGAAGACGAAGCAGAGCGAGCCTTTATGGAGAAAATCCAGGAGGATCGCCGACGGCGGGAAAAAGTGATCGCCAACGCACTTCGCCGGGCACTTGCCAAAAGGGCAAAGGAAGAGTCGCGGTTTCTGCGGCAATACGAGGCCAACAAGCTGAAGGCCGCCGAAGAGTTGCGAAAAATGAAGAAGATGGAGGCGCCTCTCGCAGTGGCTGCGCCCCAGCCTCCAGTGCGCCTCCATCCGCCGCGCGTAAAAAAAGCAGTGGCCCCATTAGTGAAGGAGGAGCGGCGCATAGAGGAGGAGCGTGAGGCAGAGCGAAACTTCTTTGAGCTGATTGAGAAGCTGCGGAGGAAGCGTGAATCGGAGATGCTGGCGGAAAAGGAGTTCAATGAAAGCCTCGCAGCACACGCACCGTCTCTCAAGGAGGGGGCACACGAAGTGGGTGGCGGTGAGGTTGCCGGGGCGCCAAGGGCGAGCGAGGAACCGGCTGACTCCCTGACCGCCCAACACCGCCTTGGCGCAGACGAACTGGCGGCGGCGGTTGCGGAGGTAGTTGAAGAGCCCAAGGAAGTCACTGTAGAGGAAACGCGGGAACAGCCAAGGCTTGAGATGTCTCTCGAGGAGTCTTCCTTTGTGGGTTCTGACGAGGCGGCCCAGGAAGTACAGGGTGGATCGGTTGCGAAGGCAAGAAGCAGGAGGCTGCAGCCGAGACAGGAAGCTATAAAACCCCGTGAGAAGCGAATTAAGAAGACACCCGTCATGGAGCGTGTGCCTGCCGCTCAGCAAATGGTGGATCATGAGCCCGTCACTCAACAAATGGCGGCCGACAATTTTACGGACTACTTCCCAAGCACATTTGACCACGTCCAACCACCTGTGTTCCCACGACCCCTTCATGCCGTCTCGCTAACGGGTTTCAATGAGCCACCATTGATCTCTTCAGTGAGGAATACGCTGGATGTCGGGCAGCGGCGAGTGCAGCCGATGCCTTCACTTGAGGCCCCCGTCATCCCTTTGCGTCCACGGACCTACGACGCGTTTCCTCCCGTAGCGCGCATGGCGCAGGTTATGCCGGTAAGTTTTCCCCACAATATCCCTACTGTTCGACCCACCAGAGAGCGTCCACCTACAGGCGCTGGACTACATCGTTTATAGAGGGCATAGGCTTTTGTGCCCCACTCATGGTATCGGATTCTGCACTGCCCGATCATGGCGAGTGACCTACAGCGAGGGCGCTATAAAACATATATATATATATAGAGAGAGAGAGAGAGATGGAGAGGAAAAGAGAATGAGAGGACTGCAAAAGCCTATACAGAAAGAAACGCAGTTATAGAGAGAGAGAAATAGGAAGTGCATTTTTTTTTTCTGTATTCGTCTGTAACTTTTTTCTTTTGTATTTTCCTTCTTACCCTTCTCTCGTGTCTTCTTCATTGCACCTCTTATATGGGGTGGGGTGGGGTGGGGGCGTAATTAGAGAAACAGGGGACTTTGAGGAAGGCGTGTTGCTGTTGCTGGAAACGTCGTATAGTTGTGGTGCTCACAATTAGCAAATAGGGGCATCTCCTGTTGTTCCTCTTTTTTTTCCTGCGTTTGAATGTATGCACACACACACGCATCAATAAACTGTAGCCACACGAGCAGCACTAAGAGCGGACTCTCTCCAACGGAGAGAGGAGCTAGCATGCCGTGCCAATGGCTTTTCACCTTCGAGTATATGCTATGGCGTTGGCACCATTCATGGTTTCTGCCTCTGCGGCCGGTGCGGTGCTTTTGGCACGGACACTTCTGCGGAGGCGGGTGAGGAGTGTGGTTCTCTTATTCTCGGAGGCGCGGCTGTACGAGATGTTTGATGTCGTGAGAAAAGCTGCGACTGCCGCTGGCCGTGCCGTGCTTCATCAGGGCGATGGGAACTACGTTGAGGTGACGCTAAACTGGAATAACGCGATATCTCTACGTGTGCCTGCGCTATTGCTCGACAACGGCCAGCTGGACGTCATGGAAGTCTTCGAGGTGTACAGCGGCCTTCTGCGACACAGGCATCCAGATGGGCTTCTCCTGTCCGACGCGTGGAATCTGCTGATGGCCATCGTGAGCCATCACCTGCGACGACAGCTGCAGAAGGATAACGCCGTCATCCTGGACGATGCGCAGGCAGAGGGGCTTCTGGCTCTCTGCACCTTGCTGCGAGGGAAGTATGCTATAACGAGGTCACCTTTACTGTTGAAAAGCCTTTTGCTCGTGCATGACTTCCCTGAGAAGCATTTTCAACTTTTTTTGAGCGCGTACAATAAGAAAAAATCGACGCGGTTGGGGTTGTTTTCTTTTTCACGACTTGTGTACAGCTCCTGCTCCTTTCGCCAGTTAATTGTGTTGACGTCTGCGTTGATGCTGTCGCCAGATGCAATTCTTAACGCACTTGCTGGGTGGCACACGGAGATGAATTGGACGCCATTGTACGTCACCGAAATTGGGAAAACGCTATCTACTGGGTTGGTGCCACACGAGTGTTCCTTTTTTGAATTTCTTGAGGCGCAGTTCAGTGGTGCCCCCGGAGCGCTCGTGGCCATCGCGGTTACTTCAATTGGGCCAGTTGAGCTGCTCTACTGCCTTCGGAACGTTGCCACGAACTATATTTTAATGGAACTCGTTGCGGCGTTTCACGTCAGTGCCTACTTGGCGCTGGCTACTGCCGATTATTGCCCTGATAATAACTGGTCTTTGTCGCAGAGTGTCTCACACGCGCTTTGGCACGTATCAAGTTCCGCGATGGGTGAGCTGCAGAGCCATGTGCCTTTGCTGTTGGAGCTGCTCAGCAGCGGCTGGGTTGCCGTGCGCTTTCCTGTAATGGCGCTGGCGATGTGGCTAGGTGTGCAGTGGAGTGACTTTGTCGCATTTCTGAATGAATCTCTCTACCTAGAGTCTCAGTATGCCAAACGTCACTTTCTCTCACCCGAAGGCTGCGCCAATCGCGACGACGCGGACAGCCATAGCTGTAAGGAAGGAGATGGGGGAGAGCGTCACAGGGGGCGTCTTTGCTGCGCTGGCAATCACAGGTCCCCATCCCCCATTTGCTTGCTTACAAAACTGGATGACTTTGCCTGGGACAACCTTACGGCGGTGGGACGGAGACGGCAGACGGATGCTCAGCCACAGCCTGCTGCTCGAGCCGGCATGCGGCAGCACCACGGGCTGGCCATCCTCTTACTCGTTTCGTTGGAGTGCAGGGCTATCACAGAGCCGTCATGGAATTGCATCTTGCGACACGTGTCTTGGCCGCTGGCCCCCACAGCGCTTGTGAGGCACATTGCTTACAGCCTGGCAGAGACCCCACAAAGCAAGGTGCAGGCCGTAAACCTCCAGCGACTTCAATGGGTGAAGGAGGCCATGAGACAAGCTTTGTCCATGAAGGAACCCGGCCCTGAGTTGCACTGCGGTTCACGATACCGTGCGGAATATTTTAAGGGATTTACGCTTTTTAGACAGAACGGTTTGGAGTTGGGGATCGCCAAGGCTGTCGTTGGGGCTGACTCTGGGCTCCGAAATGACAAGCGGGAAGATTTTATTCGCGATGCTCTGCGTGGGGTGTTTCGAACCGCCGATGCGATGCCGCTGCTTCTCACCTCAACTGCAACACTGTGTTCTTCGCAGGCGTACCTTGAACAAACCGTGTTGGAGCAAAACAGCATCATGTCACATTTAGACTTTATTAAACACGCGGTTCCCTTTTTTCCTCCGCTTGCCGATATGTTTTATGAGGAGCACGGCCTTAGTGAGGCGCAGATTGACCTGGAGCGTGTTCGGAGACGTTTGATGTTAGGTGGAAGTTCCCTGGGCTGCTATCAGGTGCTGGAGGAGCTGCAGTTCGTGCAGCACGGGATAGATCGCCCCGTTGCAAGTCCTCCCCCGTCGATGGAGGGGCCGTGGAGTGTTGAGTTCCACGATGTGTCGTACCGGTACAGCGAGTGTCATCCGTACATATTACGCGGGGTGTCGTTCAGTGTTGCGAAGGGGTCATTTCTCGGTATTGCTGGGTACAGTGGGGCGGGCAAGACAACACTTTTGCGCTTGCTAAATCGGACGTATGCGCCCACGTCGGGCGAAATTCGGATTAACGGAATTGACATCCGCCGTTACCCTGTCCGAATGCTGCGGCGGCGAATAGTGAATGCTTGGCAGGAGGAAATGCAGCTGCGGTTGTTTGACCAACTCTCAATCGCAGACAATGTGGCGCTGGGTAATCTTTGGGCATGCTCTGAGGCAGACATTCACAGGGCCTTGTCCACAGCCCAGGCTTTGTCCTTTGTGCAGAAGCGCTCCTCCAGTATCCACGCACCACTGCGTGCACGGGAGTTTAGTGGCGGGGAAGTGGAACGCCTCTGCATTGCTCGAGCGCTGATGAGACAAAACGCGGGGGCGTGCCTGTACGTCTTTGACGAGGCAACGAGTGCGGTCGACACTAACACGGAGCGGTTGATTTTTCGCTCACTTGGGCTGACTACAGAGGCCAGGCGACTCCGTCACACAACATCTATCGTTGTATCGCACCGCCTTGCAACGTTGAAGTCGGCAGATACGATTCTTGTTCTCAATGATGGCAGAGTTGAGCAGCTTGGCTGCTGGGATGAGCTTTGCAGGAGCAAACCCGATTCCTGTTTTTCACGCATGATGCGGTCGCAGCAGTTGCCCGCGTTCGATCCGTAAAGGGAGGACATGCTGGCAGCACGAAGAAGGGTTTCCCGACAGAGAGTTCAGATCCGCAGCTGCCCCAGCAAGAGGATGGAGGTTGGAAAGGCGTTGGGGTGCCAACGCCGTGAGTTGTTTTCGTTGGAAATGAATACTCAAAGGCCAACTGCTGCGAATTGCCTCAAGCGGGTTCCTCGGCTCACTGGCAGTGGTCGCGGGGCACATGAACGCAGCAGGCGAAGGAGGGAAAGCGGGAGGAGGATGAGGAGGAGGGAGGTCCACGCGTTTGTTTGACATTTCGCCTGAGGCGGTCGAACTCGTCCAACTTTGTCCGTTTCTTCGTTTGCGGCGTTTGATACCAAAACGGCGAGACAAAAAGTTGCGACGGCGAGTGGAGTCCTTGGGTTGCTCTTCCATCAAGGGAAGAGCTGGCGTCCCGTACAGGCTGCGAAGCAAATCATGGGGACCGGAACCCCCCTTGGAGCTCGGCGGAGCGCAAAGAATGCAGCGAGTACCGTCGCCATCTCCCGTATACAATTTCTTTCGAGGGGGAGGGGCGTGACTGTGCCTCGGTGTCATGCTGGGCGGAGCCGCTCAGCAGAACGGGGCCGGTGCTGGGGCTGCGCTGTGGCAAGCGCTTGACAGGAGCGCCTCTCTGGTGGAGTGTGGGGGCGGGCAATTGGGATGGCAGCAGAGTGCATGCAAGCAACAACAATAATACTACTACTAATAATAATAATAAATGTGTGTCGGACGGCCGTATGAGACGATAGTGAAGCAGCAAACGAAACACGCATTTGCTTGTTGACGTGCTGTTGCGTGTGCCGCGGCCACCATGCGCTTTCAAGGGGGGAAGAAAAAAGAAAAAAAGTGAAAAGAGGAAGACGACGGCAATGCGCACCCACTGCTTCTCCGTGGCACTACAGACTGCGATTGCCATTTATGCGGATGCAACTGCCGTCTCACACTCGTCCGAGCGTCCTCCACCGCCTGTGCCCGCCGCTTGCTGGTGCTGCGAAGGGAGGTGGAGGTGACATCTCATCATTGGGCTGCTGAATTTGGTTTCCTGTTGCGCAGGCGAAGCAACTCTCACTGCGGCTGATGTGTATTTGCACCAGTGGTGTTAACGGGATATTGCACACTGCGTCAAGGCGGCGCAACTTCCATT